GCAGTTAGTTTTAATTAAATTGATTAGATATTTTAAATTATTAATAATAATTATTAATAATTATTATTAATTATCAAATATTAACTAATTAACTATATCAAGAGTATCAAAAAGGTAAATCCAAATAATCCCTATAAAGACTACATAATTGATTTGATCTTTTTATTTTTATGATCGAACTAAATCAAACTTAAAATACGTTATAGCCTATTAACATTGAGAGAAAGGGAGAAGAATAGGTAAAATTCTATTATTTGATTACTAAAAAGAGGATAAGAGTAGCCCTACACCAAGTGGCTTACTAACCATTAAGGACAACGCCTCAACATTCAAGTTCTAGATTCTAACTCAGATAACTATTTCATTCCCTTAAATTTCCAGTGTCAAAAATTTTTTATAAAAAAAAAAAGGTTGCAAGAGTAGAAGAAAGGGAAAAGGCTTTATTTATTATAATTTTTTATTTCTTCATTCATTTTAAACTATCTAAATGAGAAGGAGATTGGAGAAAGATAAAAAGATTTTACCCTTTATTTTTCTCGATTTAAACAAGCTCTTAGGTTGTAATATAGTATATCATAAGTAAATTTTTGTACTTAAGATGTTATGGCACTTTTAATCTAAGATTATGGTGTTCATAATGCTTCAACAATTAGGATTTTGAGTCTCATTAGAGGTCTTGTGTTTGAATTTTGGGCTGCTTAGGGAGAGATTTGAATACAAAAAAGAGATATCAACCATTCTAAAGCTATCACTTAATTAATGTATAAGAAGAGATTATAACGTTTGGTGATGTCTTAAAAATACATAAAACTGTAAGTAACAGATCACATGTAAGTGGGAAGAATTAAGAAAGGAGTTACTTTTTCTATATAACTTAATAATAACTCTACAAAATTAAAGAGAAATAAATTTAATATATTAAAAAAGAGAAATAAATTTAACCTTAATTTAATTTGTCTACCTTTAATAATGAATACGTTTTTAATACGTGTTTAGAAAATTTTAAAAAAATATTTGTTTCAAAATTATTAATTTTTTTTATAAATTAAAAATTTTATTAGAGGTAAAAGATAAAATTAACTTTTTAATTACGTTTTAGAAAAATTTTGTTGAACTTCACCAAACAC